GGTCAAGGCAGCGATGAAAACTGGTCAAAGGCAGCGACATGCAACGGTTGAAAGCGGTAGTCGGAGGTGAAGGTCAGAGTCGGAAAGCAGCAGCGGTGGTCGAAGGCGGCATGAAGGCCTCTGCAAAAAGAGAGAAAAAAAAATTCTAAAAGAAAAACCAAAGCTCTAGATACCATGTTGTAATTCAAGAACTGTGTTGATTGCTATACACACCAATCTTATTTATAGAGAGAATACAATAAATGATAAAGATACTAATCTTTAATATTATGAAAACTAATCTAATCATATCCCTAATTGATAGCGAGGATAATAACCATAATATCTATATCAACAATAATTGTAATATATCCAGAATATCTATAACAATATATATATATGCATATATATATATATATATATATATATATAATTTGGTTGTGAATACCCATAACAAGAATAAATTTCAAAGCAAAGATGACGATGACGGTCAAAGGCGGTGGTGGTCAAAGGCGGTAGCCGGCAGCGGCCAGTGGTAGTCAGAGGCGACGTGAAGGCCTCTACAAAAAGAGAGAAAAAAAATTCTAAAAGAAAAACCTAAGCTCTAGATATCATGTTGTAATTTAGGAATTGTGTGGATTGCTATACACACCAATCTTATAGAGAGAATACAATAAATGATAAAGATACTAATCTCTAATATTATGGAAACTAATCCAATCTTATCCCTAATTGATAGCGAGGATAATAACCATAATATCTATATCAACAATATCTACAATATATCCAGAATATTTGTAACAATATATATATATATACTACACACACACACACACACACACACATATATATATATATATATAATTTGGTTGTGAAAGACCATAACAGGAATAAATTTCAAAACAAAGACGATGATGATAGTCAGAGGCAGCGGTCAGAGGCGACAGCTGACGACGGTCGGAGGCAGCCACTGACAACAGTCAAAGGTGGCGACAGGCGACGGTCGAAGGCAGCAGTCGGAGGTGGTGGGCAGCGATGGTGGTCGAAGGCGACATGAAGGCCTGTAGACACCCAATTTCATCTGGGGGGCATGCAAACAATGGGACAGAACTTTAGAGGGCCCAAAAGCTCAAACAAGCTGATTTTAGAAGACTGGAACGGGCTGTTCCAAAACCGGAACGGGCCGTTCCCAATTTGGAACAAGCCATTCCAAGTTTCTAAAAAGGCCAAAAACCCTAGATTGGAACGGGCCGTTCCAATTGGAACGGGCAGTTCCAAGGCTGTTTCAATCTTCTAAAAAGGGTGTTAAGACCTTTACTGGAACGGGTCGTTCCCAAACTAGAACAGGCCGTTCCAAGTTAAGGAAAAGGCCTAAAAACCTTTCTTCGGAACGGCCGTTCCAACATAGCCAAGTGTGTGAAAATTGCGTCTCTGGAACGGGCCGTTCCAATTTCAGAACGGGTCGTTCCAGTTATCAATTTAACCCACAACGGCCATATCTAGAACGGGCCGTTCCGATTTCAGAACGGGCCGTTCTGGACCTTTTTTAAAATCTATAAATAGACAGCTGAGGCTCATTTCTGAGGACTCCAAAATTTCGTCCGGACTCCTTAGAGCTCGGAATTTCTCTCTTTTTCTCTCTTCCTCTCACTTTTGTATTTCTTGAGATTTTGTGAGGCATTGTAGTGTGAAAGGTTGCCACAAAGAACCTAAAATCTTTGTGTTTTGAAGATTCAATAGAGCTCATTCAAGAGGTATTTCCATAATCTCTTTCTTTCTTTTTTTATTTATTTATTATATATAATTAATATTGTTATAATCAAAATAATAATGCAGACTTTTAGGGTTAATTGTATAATTTAAATTTCAAGCATGTAAATAATTAGTAATAAAAGGAAATTTAATATTTATATTAATATCATTTATAATGTTAACTTCACCATAGGGTACCAATTAAGGACGTTGTAGGGGTGCCTTCCCTGCATGTAAGCGACCCCCGAACCCAATTCTGGTTATCAAGACCATTATTGGATTTTTAAAAAATCTTTTCTTTTTCCAATGTTTTGAGTAAAACATTGGTGGCGACTCCATGAACTCATTTTTCAAAACCATTAATTAAGGATTAGTCTGGTGTCCGGGCATTCCTTAATTGATGAGACTTTTAAAAGGATGTCTAAACCATTAGTCGCGAGATCAAAAATATTTGGGTTGCGACAAGGCCTCTACAAAAAGAGAGAGAAAAAGTTCTAAAAGAAAAACCTAAGCTCTAGATACCATGTTGTAATTCAAGAACTGTGTGGATTGCTGTACACACCAATCTTATTTAGAGAGAGAATACAATAAATGATAAAGATACTAATCTTTAATATTATGAAAACTAATCTAATCATATCCCTAATTTATAGCGAGGATAATAACAATAATATCTATATCAACAATATTTGTAATATATCGAGAATATTTATAGCAATATATATAGAGGAGGGTTCAAAATACACCGGTATAACTTTTACTAAGTGTTACACAACTCAATAACTTTAAATTAAATGTGAATTTTGTAATCCAACCGCTAGATTGAAAGTTCTTTACTCTTAGATCATATATACAAAATTTTATATTAATCCAAGATAATTTGATACTTTATTCTTATAAAACAAAATTGACGTTATATATTTATTTCAAAATATACTAAAATATGAACTTTTTGATTAATCTCAAGTTGTTCAATTTTAACAAAATTTGATATACACATATAAAGTGATGAATTTTCAATCTAACAGTTAGATTTACAAAATTCATATTTAATTTAAAGTTATTGAGCAATGTAACACGTAGTAAAGTTACGTCGGTGTCATTTGAGCCCTCCTCATATATATATATATATATATATATATGAGGGTTCAAACGA